TTTTTAATCATAACATAACTCGCATAAATGCTCCACTCCCCCTAAAAACGCGTAAAAGTCCAACTATGGGGCGCCAATTCGCGCAGAAAACGCACATGGGGGGAGTTGTACATGCATTGGGCGCCCATCTTGGGCGTTCAATTAAAAAAAAATGTTTTTGCAATGGACGCCCAACTCGGGCGCCAAATGCAGCTTGCACGCCCAACTTGGGCGTGCACTGCATGAATGGGCGCCCAAAAGTTGGGCTTTTACGCGTTTTGGGGGGGGGGGTTGGATTTTTTTGGGAAGTTTTAGGGTTTTAGAGAGATAAAGTGTTTTTTGTTATAAACCGCAAATAGCAATGTTCGAACCGCAAATAGCAAGTCCCATTAATAATCATTAAAATAGAACCAAAGGAAAAAATAAATAAAAGAAAAACACATGATGACCAAACTGATGAATAAGCTCAAAAAGGCCCAAATAACACAAAGCAAATAAGAGAGGTCCATGAAAGAATTGTATACTACAAGGTGGGCCGGTCAAGACCCGACTCGACTCGACCCAAACTAACTTTAAACCGTTTGGAGCCCAACCCGACCCGAACCGTCACAATTTTATTTTTTCCGTTAATTATTATTATTCATCATCTGATAAATGTTTATTGACTGAATTTCTTCAGTAATAGCTCTGATGGCTTCACTTCACCTCTTCGCTTTGACGCTCGCAACCATAATATTGGCTCTGATCACCAGAATCGTTTCCGTTGTGTTCTATCACCGAAGAAACCGGAAAAATGCCGTCGGATTCTTTCACCCCTACACAAACGACGGCGGCGGTGGCGAGCGAGTGCTCTGGTGCGCCGTCAAATCCGTCCAGGAAGAGTCGCCGGATCTCGATTGTGTTATATACACGGGCGATCACGAAGCTTCTCCTGAATCCCTTGCCGCTCGGGCGATCGATCGTTTTGGCGTCAAATTGGTTCACGCTCCAAAGGTAAATTCAGTTTTCAGGCACTCCTTTATATTTTGTTAAATTCGTAGAAAATTTGAAGGTGTAGAATTTTAACCTTGTACAAATGTTTTTGTGTAAAATTGTTTTATAGAAAACAATTTTTGTTTATTGGTACTCGAACTATATATTTATTTTATTTTCTAGGTTTTTAAGAGAGAGTTTTACTGACCTTGTGTCTACAGGAATTTTCGGCAATGTTTTTAAATCATTCATTGCACTTTAGTTTTTGATTGCTGATAAATGATAACAATAATTCTTTGGTAACTGTAGAATCGGGAGAGGAATATTTCTTCAGTATAATGTTAATGTTTAATTTTTTTTATTTTATTTTCTGGTTTATGTTTTGATTTGACAGGTGGTGCATCTGTATAAAAGGAAATGGGTTGAAGAAACTACATATCCTAGGTTTACTATGATCGGTCAGAGCCTGGGCTCAGTGTACCTTTCATGGGAAGCTTTGTGCACGTTTACTCCTCTGTATTTTTTTGATACAAGTGGATATGCATTTACGTACCCTGTTGCGCGGATTTTTGGATGTAAAGTCATTTGCTACACACATTACCCAACGATTAGTTTAGATATGCTATCACGAGTTAATGCGCGGAGTTCTATGTACAATAATGATGCTCTCATTGCTAAAAGGTATGCTTCTTCTCACAGAAATGAATGAATGTGAACTGTAATAGAATACAAAAGCAATGAATGAAATACTGTCTTTATCTGCCCCGATTTTCTGATAAAGTTGATAGGTTGTGGAGATATTTTGTTATGGATATCTGAATGATTTTGCCATAAGTTATCTTGTTACATTGGGGATTGTAGAATGTAACTCAAAGTCATTTAAGTTTGAAAATTCTATAACTTTGGCTCTACTTGCTGTGTGTTTTTGAAGCTAATAGAAGTTTTTTTTTGCCAGTGTCTTCTTCTCGCAGTGCAAAGTTATCTATTACAAGGTTTTTAGCTGGATGTACGGAATTGTAGGATCTCATGCACATCTTGTTATGGTTAATTCGTCATGGACACAGTCTCACATTCAGAAGCTTTGGAGGATTCCAGATCGTATTACGAGGGTTTACCCTCCCTGTGACACTTCTGGTCTTCAGGTTTGCATTATATACTATTTTCTTTTACGTCATGTTTGGAGGGAGTTCATTTTAATTTATTTTGCACAAATCTTCTGTATCTTCACATACCAGCTTAGAAAAGATTTGGACATTTCAGCTATTTTTAGCAAAAAGCATAGTATACGATTTTTTTGTGATTATGTTCGACTCAAAAAATTAGCGAAACAATTTTGAGATGAACTATTTTGTGAATATTTGTGAATACACATCTTCTTTACTATATATTTGAGTGTTAAGAAAATATTAAAAAAAGATGTGACCAATTTAGCTATTTTTAGCAAAAATTGTGTGCTTTATAGTATACGATTTTTTTTGCAATTTTGCCTGACTATACAAAAATTAGTCAAACAGTTATTAGATTAACTATTTCTTGACTATTTCTAAATAAATATCGTCTATGCTATATATTTGAGTGTTAAAAACATTTAAAAAAAAATCTGAACATTTCAGCTATTTTTACCAAGAAACGTGTATAGTAAACGATTTTTTGTGATTTTGTTTGAAAAATAAAATAAAAATAGGGAAGCAATGGATGAACTATTTATTGACTACTTGTGAATAAATCTGTTCTATACTATATATTTGAGTGTTAAAAAAGTATTAAAAAATATTTTAACATTTCAGCTACTTTTAGCCAAAAGTGTGTGCTGTTGTATACATTTTTTTGTGATTTTTGCTCGACTATTCAAAAGTTAGTGAAACAAATTTTAGATGAACTATTTATTGACCATTTATGGATAAACATCTTCAACATTATATATTTGGGTGTTACAAATATGAAAAAAATATTTGAACATTTCAACTATTTTTAGCAAAAAGCGTGTGCTTGATTAGAACTGTGGCTGAAAACAGGTGCTGCCATTAGAAAGATCGACCAAACCAATGAAGATCATTTCCGTGGCTCAGTTTCGTCCTGAGAAGGTGGGAATTTTTTGAGATCAAGGTATCCATACTTGCTGGATAATTCATTTCTTGGTCTGTTGGGATATTTGGTGAAATTCAGCTCAATGTTGATGTTTTTTACACAGGCGCATCCACTTCAACTTGAGGCGTTTGCAGTTGCCATAAAGAATTTGGATGCAGATCTGCCAAGACCTAAGCTCCAATTTGTCGGTAGTTGCAGGAATGAAGCTGATGAAAAAAGGTTGCAATACTTGAAGGACCGCGCCAATGAGTTGAAATTGGACAATGATGTTGAGTTTCACAAAAATGTTACATACAGGTTTGCAATATTTTCTCTGAAACTAAATCTGCAGTCTGTACACCGATCGATACACGTTGTAGAATAGATTTGATAGATTCTAAGAAGGTACTGAATATTTTGATTCTTGCCTTAAATTTGATTATGCTGCAGACAATTACTATGTGTTATGTTTGTGCATATATATATATTTCTGTAGCAGATCTTTTTATCATTGAAGCTTGTATAGTAGCAGTTTTGGTATAAGAGTGCACTTCAAAACGATTTATCACATGTTAATTGTGCATACTATATCATCTCTGTGTGTTTTAATAAATGCTCTATCTTTTCGATTCGTCTATTTCCCTTTACCATCTTTATTTGATTTTGATAGGTTATCTTCCTTTATACATTATGAACTCTATAGACTTGATATTTGGTTTCATCTATTGGCTCTCTTCTTGTTATGCAGTAATCTGGTGAGTCTCTTGGGCGGTGCAACCGCCGGAATTCACTCGATGATAGACGAACACTTTGGCATATGTGTGGTGGAATACATGGCTTCTGGTGCCATACCAATTGGTCCGTTCACATTTTCTTTTTCTTTTTTTTTGCTATTTTTACGGGTCACAGTTTTTTTTGCCTTCTTAATTTAATTTAAAATTTATTTACCTCAGCTCATAATTCAGCCGGACCTAAGATGGATATAGTGTTATCTGAAGATGGTAAGCAAACAGGATTTCTCGCAGAAAACGTGCAAGAATATGCAGATGCCATCCTCAGCATTATCAGAATGCCAGTAAACGAGCGGCTCGAGATGGCTGCTGCCGCTAGAAAACGGGCTTCACTATTCTCCGAACAAAGATTCTACCAAGATATGAAGGCTGCAATTCGACCAATTATGTTAAACACTTCTCAATGACATACATACATATATATTATATGTTAGACATAGGCACAAGGTTTCATCTGATACATGTTCTAACTGAGAAAAAAACATAACACGGTTCTTCGCCTGATGTAATGACACCCAACAAAATTTGACAGTACATTGTTCTTGTTTTTTTTTTCTTTTTGTTTGATTGCACTTAACCATTGTGTGATTGTTGTTGGGGGGTGGGGGGTGGGAGGTGGTAGATCAATGGTCGTATCAATCTGTAGAACCCTACTTTGTGGTGGGATTTAATTACGACTGCAATTGAGAAATAAGGCCCTACAAACCAAGACTTGTGGGTTATTTTAACCTTTTGTTTTCTTGCGCAGGTCAATTTTCTTAGCCCTCTTTTTTGTAAAAGTGAGAAACAAATCACAGTTGTGATTTGTGTGAATTATCTCTTTCTTTTTTCTTGCATTCTCGAATTCGAAACGTCATACTTGTTCGTCTTCTTGTTCTTTATTATGTTTCTATCTGTTCTCGTTTTCGCCTAATACTGACAAAGAGTTAGTGGTGGGACAAACCAGTGTGGATTATGGAATCTAAAGTAAGGTTTTAGTGGGTTCGTTTTATGCTACGTTTGGTGAACTTCATCTATTAATATTTAATCGTACGCATGTTAATTATTCAATACATATTTTATACAAACTGTGGCATGTTTATATTTACAAGACCGTTTTAAGTGCTGTTCATTTTGTTTGCAGTGAATGTGAAGAAGAAATTTTTTATATTACGTTTGTGTTCAAACTTGGGGTGTGAACGTTAGCTCTGACATATTCGTTGGAGCTTTTGAGTGTCGGTTAATTGCAATAAATATGAAGAAAATCTTGTCATGGACGAATTAGTGTATAGTCTATATGTTTTAACTTTCTTAAATCAAAGTTAGATAGAGTCTATTGTAAATACTCATCTTGATTACATAGTTTGTACGTAGGTCTAGAGATACGATGGTTTGTGTAAAAAGAAGCTAGATTTCATTGAATGTTATATTATTATTATTATTATTATTTAGACCAAATCATCAACATGCTTAAAAAAAACTAAGAAGATTGTGTAAATTAATTATAATATCACACACATTGATTTTTTTTTTTTCATAAAATGCAAACTCAATCTTATATATATTAATATAATAAAAGAGATCCTATTGTATGATTGGAGATCCAAAAATGTAATAATCATGCCATGAAGTGACGGCAAGAAAAGGCCAACAACAGTTCCCATAATTCCTATTTGACGAATTACAAAAAAGTTAACACCACATCCAACCAGTCACCATCTTGTTTTTCAGATCACACATTATTCAAACTTATTATCACTTGTTATATACCACTACATCATGTGTTATATATATATATATATATATATATATATGAGTAAACTGCAAAAACTACCCCTGTGTAATCTCGAAATAGCAAAAACCCCCCTGTGATAAATAAACTAGCAAAAACCTCCCCTGTGAAATTATTTAAATAGCAAAAACCCCCATATGGAACTATTTGAGGGTTGACTTGATATAAAAAGACACAAATACCCCTGGAGTCTTGCAATTAATAAATTCTTATATTTTATAAATATTTTAATTGTTTTATTTAAAAAATAATCAATTTAGTAATTTACTATTTTTTTTAATTTCTAAACAAACAAATTAAAAAGAATAAATATACATATAATATGTATATATATAAATACATTTTGAGGGACAATTTTGTCATTTCAAGTCTAAAAAATCAGCTAGGGGGATTCTGCCTTTGATTAAATTTCACAGGGGGGTTTTTGCTAGTTTATTTATCACAGGGGGGTTTCCGCTATTTCGAGATAACACAGGGGTAGTATTTGCAGTTTACTCATATATATATATATGTTTCATTGTTTGTTTGTGGGTTTCAAGATCCAAACAAAAAATATGAGTAATTAAGATAAAATTGTTTTCTTGAAAATGGAAAATTGCTTTTGGGCGGAACTAGAAGATCAGTATAAAGACAACAGCTTAATGGTTCCATCATCATGGCTTTCTCCCAGCGACGCCCTGCAGTACCATTGCTACAATCCCGCCGCCGTAGCCCCGCCGTGGGCGCCGCCCTTTGAAGGTTCGCCGGAAGAAAGAGCCGCCACTGCTTCTAGAAGCCACAGCGAAGCTGAGAAGAGGCGCCGCGACAGAATCAATGCTCAGCTCTCCACTCTCAGGAAACTCATCCCAATGTCCGAAAAGGTACTCTCTCTCTCTCTCTCTACTCTCTCTCTCTCTCACACACACACACAATGCATTACATATATATATATCACTATTTATATAATAAGCAGATGGACAAGGCAGTGCTGTTAGGGCACGCGGTGGAGCAAATAAAGGAACAGAGCAAAAGAGCAAAAGAAGTGAGCAAATTATCGACAATCCCAACAGAGAACGATCAAGTGACGATAATCGATGATCACTCGAACACGGATAAAGAAAGTCACATTATCCAAATGAAGGCGACGATCTGCTGCGACGATCGGCCGGAGCTACTGTCCGAAATAAACGGCGCGATAAAGGGGTTGGGGCTGACAGTTATGGAAGCGGAGATCACGGGCTTGGGTGGCAGGGTGAATAGCAGCTTTGTGGTGTGTGCAAATGTGAAAAATGTGTGCATTGCCTCGTTGAAGCAGTCGATCAAGTTGGCGTTGGGGCGTGTCGTTTTATCTTCCGGCGACTCGAGTTATTGTGTTAGAAGCAAGAGGCAGAGGTTTTTCTATCCTAATAATTCTTATTGATTTATTTATTTTTATTATTGATTGAAATTGATTGGAATTTGGGATTTTTTTGTTCATGATCATGTTTTTTTTTTCCTTTTTTGGGGGAGGGATGAGAGGGATTTATATGATTAGGTGATGCAAGAAACATTTGTAATATATGGGCTTTGATGTATGTATTGGAGGAGTTGTTTTGTATTTGATATATAAATATGAAAATGATTGTATTGGAGGAGTTATTTTGTATTTGATATATAAATATGAAAATGATTTAAGGGTAAATTGGGGCAATCTCCATGTTTTAAGGTTAAATTACGATTTTTTTTTTTTTTGTTTTTATTTATGTTTGATTAATTACAACTACTCCCACTCAACTAAGAATATTCTTACACGTCTATTTTTGCGGTGCTAAAGTTAGTAGAATCTTCTGAATTACGTGGAATATTCTCCAGTTTGTACCAGTTTATTCTATTCAAGCTCCATATGTTAAAACAAGATGATCATAAGATGTGCCTTTTGGATAGTAAATACATATTGTGGTGTATCAGAAACTGCATTTTACACAAAACAAATACAAACTATAGAACATTCCACAAAATCTAAAAGATTATGTTGAATTTGACACTATAAAAGTAACAGTGTAAGAAAATTCATAGTTGAGGGAGATGATTGTAAGTTTCCAAACATGAGAGTGTTTTTCGTAATTTGTTTGATTTTACCGACGTAAAGGGAGAAATTTGACATTTGGATTTTTATTTTCCAAGAAATCACCATGTGAGACTTTGTCCGATATTTACAAGTACCAACGTACTATGCTGTTTTCTTGGGATTTTGCCTAGGATTCCGAATCCAACGCCTTGTTTGGTACAACGAATTGGGCCCAAGAAAAAATGAATTAAAATCTTGCCAAAATGTTTTAAATAAATGTTCTATTTATACAAAAAACTTTTCGAGGCCCAAAAAAGCTAGGGCCCAAGACAGAAAATATAATGGGATCGATTGTTTTCTTGTCCAATTCAATCTAGTAATCTTATATAAATTGTCTCGCAAATGTTAGTCTTTCAGTCGGAGCAAGTGAGCATGTGTCAATTGATCTAATGCGAATCCCATTACAAACGAACGCTAAGCTGAGTTTGTCACGCATGGTTACCCTATAGGTTGATTTACGTTTTTCTGTGGTGGTTGTGAGTTCCTTCTTTAAAAAAAATGAATATATATTATACACATTGAATATATTGCAATCTATTCATCCGAAAATTTAGACCAATTTCACTCATTATTGTTCAATTATTGACATATATTAATTTATATGTATACAAATGTGAAATGTGAAGTTGACAATTCAAAGTCTTAACTCCAAAATTTGAAACATCTAAACCCATACTGTGAGTATTATTTTACTTACTGGTCACAGAGTTCCAGTGGGAATTATTATGGGCTAAAATTAAAAATATCACCAGCATTCTGCACACTTTGAACTGGTTGAATTGGTTGATGAATAATACCAATCTATAACTTTATTATAATTTATTTTTCAATATATTTTTGTGGTTGCCATAAATAAATGCAACCATCAATACTTGTCACATTACTGAACATAACATCTGTGTGTGTGTGTTTATTATATTTATATGTATATATATAAATATATATATAATAAATATATGTGTACATGCATAGTTGTATTCTAGATTGGGTCTCATTCAAAATCTACTTGCAGAAAACTCTAGATTGGCATTTACTGCATAATTAAATATATTTCAATTTCAGAAGGTCCCCCAATATCCATTGGCCACTCCATTTTATTCTTATTTTATGTGGTGTACCTTAATTTCCAAGATGAATCTTTTTATTTTATTTACCAAAAAAAAAAATTAAAATTAATTATTGTGATTTATTCTAGTCAATTTGAAAGCTATACATTAAAATGTAAATAAAATATTAATGAATGCATTTATATACGTATCATCAATTTGTAAAACAAAGTTATAAATTCCTAGCATGATTTAGTGCAACTGACTGTAGTCGACAAGTTAGGTAAAAGCAAAGATTGAATTGATGATGCTAATTTTAAGCACATGCATAAGTTATTATCAAAATAAGTTGGTAAAAAGCACAAATTTTGCCAAGAAATATATGTTGGATCATCACTAATTCTAAGTCAATTTGAACTAATTTTTAAATATTACTATAAATTCTAAAAATAGTATATATGCATGCAGTCATTGAAACTTTTTCCGCCACATCTTTTTATCGAAAATAAATTCATTTATTCTAATGTTGACCTTTACAAAAAGTCAACAAAATGAAATTATTGTTATGTTTTATAAGTAAATAATCTTCTGAAATTAATCCCGCGACGAATTTTTCTACCAACTGTTGTTTTATGCGCAATAAAATATAAAATATCAAAATTAAGTTAACCAATTTATTAATAATTCAAGTACGTGCTACCTTTAAGGCTGTGATGTAATCATTAATATAACATGCACGAAGAGAAACATAATTACATAAATATTATTAATTAATTTTATCCTAGAATTGTAAATAAATTTCCACGTCAGATATTCCTCCTCAAGACACAGTATCCAAGGAGTCCAAATAAACTGCACAGTCAAACAGTATATCCCCATTTCGAGGGAGGTAAAAAGAGAGTGGGAAAACAATTTTTAAAAGAAAAAAAAGAAAAAAGAGAAAAAGAAAGGGAGACGAGTCAAACAGGTGAGTCGACTCGGAGAGAGGAACGACAAAGCGGGCAATTGGACTGAGTGGTGAGCCACTTATCCACGCACTCGGAGTGAAAACAATGGTTGCATTCCGGCAGCACTTTTACTTTCTCCCCGTCCACGAATATTCCGAGGCATATACAGCACTCCGCCTCCGTGAAGTAATCGCCGCCGCCGCCGCCGCCGCCGGGAGCTGGATTAATCCTGTGCAGCACGATAGGGAGGCTGTTAATCGCAGATGGGTCGAGGCCACGCAGCCTCGACGGTGGCGCGTGGGCGGCAAGATGGGCGGCGGAAGTGGATGTTGTTAGTGGCGGAGGAGGGCCGGAGCGGCAGACCCACCGGGCGTAGAGGAAGAGGAGCGCCACCAGGATGATGACGGAGAAGAGGACCAAGATGAAGAAGAGTGTCCGGCCGCGGATTTGGAAGTTGCTGTCGTCGAACTCGGCGTAGTGCCACCGGAATGGCTGCGACGTTTCTTGCTCGTACGCCATGTTCGCCAGCTAATTACACGGCGGCGCTTTGGTTTCAATGAGTATGAGTGTGACCTATTTTTTTTTTCTTTTTTTTTTTTTTTTGAAAGATGTGGTGGCGATTGGTGGCGGAGGTATATATATTGTGGAAGTGGGGATTACCGATTGGGGATTGGATCTGAAGGAGAAGAAGTTGTTCAACACAGAGTTCAGTTTGCTTACATTAAGTAGCTTTTGTTGTACCTGCAAAGTCAGGGCAACTCCACCACTCGCATTCTATAGCGCGTGGCTTACATTATTTAGAATTTTTAGTTTTAGTTAAACTATATTCTAAAAATAAATAAGGGGGTTTTAAATTGAACTATTAATTAAAAGTGAAATTACAAATTTATATCATGGGGTTATTACAGTATATTTAAAGGTGTTTGTTATATATATAAATATATCATACAATAAATAAAAAGGAAAATAGTGTGCTATGTGTCTAGTGGCCACTCTTTTAATTTTTTTACTTTTGAAATAAAAGTAGTGAATAATTCCACATTTGCTTTTCTCTTCTAAGCAAAACAAACTTTGAAGCGTGTACAATACATGTTATATATTTACCATATGGAACAATATTATTTTTAGAGCATGTAAAGAATTTTTATTTTGATTAGCTATTATGAAATTTTGTAATTTTTTTTCTTTTTCAATGCTCCCATCTTACTCATTTAGATCTTTATTATTCATAAGTACAAAAACGCATACATCCATATTGGCGTGTGCATATTAACGATAAAAAAATCCACGCGATATAACTTTACCAGTGTAGCATTACCTACTAGCTAGTCCAATATTTTTAATTTCCTTTGATTGGATTGAAGATTTGGAAATATCTAGTACCAAATTTGAACAAGGATTTGTATAAAGTGTGACATGATCACCAATAAGGGCATTCCACATTAGTGCTAAGCTCTTAATTTTGTTTGTGTGTTGAGTTGGCGAAAATGACCAAAAAGACTTCTTTATATTTTGATTTTTTTTTTATGGAATGGTTGATTTCTTTTTTCTTTTTTCTTTTTTATTTTATTTATTTATTTGCCCAAATAGAAGAGACGCCATTGGATAAGCTTTGTTTTCGTTGCAACTACCAGACCTGTAAAGGACACTTGTCCAGGGTACGTTAGCAGGGGAAAAATTCCTGCATGGTTACAAAGCAAATTTGCAATATAAAAAAAGGAATTAATTTTCTTGTCAAGAATTAGCACTTAAAATAATTGTTTTGGAAGTAAAAATACTAATTTGAGTCCCGTTTCAATTATTATTATTTCTTTTTTTTTGAAAAAATCGAAATAGGTAGTAAAAAACTTGATACTGAAAGAAATATCGGCCGAAACAGACGAAATTCAAGAACTTTATTTCTAAAATATATATGAATACGCAACATCATTTTTTTATTTTTGGCACATACTGATATTATTAGAAATTTCTAAAAATACTAGTTACCACAAATAGTTCGCATGCCATCATAAACGCCGGACACATTATTGAAGATCAGCAATTAAATTCACGAATAAGGCAGCGACCCCTATGTGCCTGTGTGATAGTAAATAATTTGTCATTCGCAAGATCGAGCTTGTCACACAAGCACGTTGGACTTATTTCAAAATTATTTCGATTTTGGGCCTCTATTCTCACATAATAGATTCATTAGCCCATTAAGCAGTGGAACGGAGTTTTCTTTAATAGTACAAATATGAAGCCCAAATGAAATTAGTGGGCTAAATTAGAAATCCAAGCTCAAATGGGAATTCAGATTTCGACTCCATAACCAAGATAATGGGTTTTGTGAATTTTTCAATTTTACTAATACAATTTTGCTTAGAATGGGATTTTGACCACTTTTAGTCTGGTTTTGACAAAACTCTATACATGTAAAATTGTAAACATTTTAATTAGTTTTGTAATGATGGCAAAGTTATACATTAATGATTCACATTTTGAATTTTAGATAACTCAACACATCAAAGTTGTGGCCGTTATTCATTGTTTCATCCATATTTTTCTCACGCGACATGCAATCTTGGTGATACAAGTTGGATTAAATAGCTAACACAAAGAAGAATTGCAAATTCCACTGTTTCAGTTTTGCCAAATCACTACAAGAAAAACTAGTTTCAGCGACCAAATTCTCAGCGACCATAACTAAATGGTCACTGAATATTCACATTTAGTGACCAAAAGTAATTTGGTAGCAAAAGTCGGTAGGGCTAAATCCTTTTGCGACCGGCGAACATTTGGTGGTTATAAGTGGTCACTAATAGTTTGACATCTTATAGCAACTAAAGTTAAAGTTTGTAGCGACAATTTTTATGGTCACTATAACTTAGTGTCAATAGTGACCAATTTAACATCAATTTTTTTTACGGTTGCTACAAGTCTTTAATTTAATTATTAACGACCATCTAATTGAGTTGCTACTAATCACTTTAATTTGGTTGTTATGAAACTACTTATGAAAATTTAATCGATTTGGTCAGTAATTTAATTTTTAAACAAATCAAGAAATGAAAAGAATGAAAAGAAAGATGGAGGGCGAAAATGCAAATAATGGAAAAACACAACGAATTCTCATTCTTTCGTTACACGCATTTCTTTCATCTCAAATCATTACTCTGTTCAATCTCTCGCTTACACTCTCTCTCTCTACCAATTCTCGCCTGATATTACTGAGTAGCAAGACAATGAGCCAAAGTATTACCAGAAGTTCAGAACGTTTAACAAAGGACAAATCGCAAGAATCGAACGAGATAATAAGGGAGAAACAATAAAGGATTATGTGAATGGATTGTTCTTATAACTTATAAGTTGGTGCAAGATTATACTGTGATTATTTTCATTAATTACTTGTACGTTGTTCTTTATCCGCTTGTACATTAATTTAAATTAATTAATATATTATTTGATTTTTATGTGTTTTAAGGAATTGTGCCTTGTGCATTAGAATACTTGTACTCTCGTCTAAAATAATTTCAAAAAAAATTACCGGCCCTAAAATACACTCAACTCTCCCTCTCTCTCTCTCTCTGATCTCTCTCTCTCTCCGCCCGCCCTAATTCTCTCTCTCTCTCTCAGTACAGAGCCATTTTCTTATTCACCGGCGAATTCGTCATTTTCTTCCGGCAAGACTCCGCATTTGTGTATTTTCCGGTGAGTGTGTGTTCTCCTCTCTGTCACAATTGAAACGGCAAACACAAAATTGGGGAGATTAGGGTTTTTAATTTGTATGTGCCGCAAATTATCTATTTTATGCTTTGATTTTTGATTTTTGATTTTTGATTTTTTTCTTTATTTTATGCAAATTGAGTTGTTTTCTGACTGTTCACCATTGTTGCCCTTGTTCAAGCAAGAAAATAAAGGAAACACAATTCATCTCCGTTAAAGCAGTCGACGCCGTCTACGGCTCTCGGAGGGTTTGGATTGCGAATTTGGGAATCATTTCTTCTCAAAACTCGGAGAGAACCGCGAGTGTTATAAGTAAGTGTTACATTATTTCTAATTCGAGCACGTTGTATAGCCTTTTTCGAGGTCAGAATCATACGACCCTGAATCTGTCAAAACAGGGCAGTTTTGAATATCCATCTTACGGGGCTGTTTTTGCTATGTTGAGCTAATAATTTGGGCAGTGTGTCTTCTGAGAACTTGTAGATTACATTGTCAGGTTCAATTTGGTGTATTATTTGAACAATTTGGATAACTCAATAAATTGTTATGATTTTTCAAATAAACAGTGCCAGCAGATGCATTTGTTTTAAAACCTGGCAGTTTCATGTAATCATCTTCCGGGGCAGTTATTGCTATGTTAGGTTGATAATTTGGGCTCAGGGTCTTCAGTGAACCTGTAGATACATACGTTAGCTTTAATTCTATATACCTTTTAGGTTATTCGGATAAGTACGGTGATCGTAACGATTGTTCGAATAAGCTGTGGCAGCAATATATTCTTAATAAATGTTTCAAGAAAGGGCAGTTTTGATGAATCATCTCCGTTGGGTTTTATTACCGTCTTAGGATAATAATTTGGGATATATTTCTTTCGTAAACTTTTAGATGAAGTTGTCAGCTTTGATTTGGTAAATTGTTTGGCCAATTTGGATAACTTTACAAATAGTTATGAATTTTACAATAAACTATACCAGAAAAGAGAATTTATCCGAAATTCTGGCAGTTTTCTGTAATCATCTTTTGGGCCTGTTTTGAATGTGCTAGGATCATAATTTGTGATGAGAGTCTTCAGTGAACATGTAGGTGCAGTTGTTAGCTTTCATTTGGCATATTACGTTCCCAATTTGGATAATCGTACCAATTGTTATGATTTTTCAAAGAAATTCTGGAAACAAATGTCTTTGTTTCGAGAACTCGTCAAACAAACACGAGTCAACCCTTGGTTTCATGTTTCCTTATGATAAATTCATTGGACTTGGTTTCTCATAAACTTGAATCCCTGTTTTCATCTCTTATGTAGGTTATAACTTATAAATGCCAAATTTGCAGTTGAGGCTAAAGTTTAGTTGGTGGCTCTACTGATAAGGTAAATCAATTCATTACATAAGATTTTCCTTGTTGCTTTTGTTGCTTATATGATCACTACATTTGGAAAACAATTGCATGTGCCATGTATATCTTCTGATCCTCTGTGGCATCCAATTCCAGGCACCCAATTTCAGGCACCCGTAGAGAGGCAGAGGCAGTTGAAGCTAATGATATTACTTCAATCAAGTTCCAGGTGTGAATGTTATCAGCCGTTTTAAGTTCAATTTAATCGGCGAGGCAGTGTTTGGTTTCTTTGGTTGCTACTGTATATAGATTGATCACTGATTTAATTCACTTGTAAACAATTAATTAGCTAGGTGCTAATATGTAGTAACCAGCTATCAATTCAATTTTTTTTCCTCACAATTATTATTTGGTTTTTGTCATTGGTAGTAATAAACAATTGTTTTTCGTTCATTATTTGATTGTTTTGCAAATAAGAATATTAATTGTTATTTTTGGTTATTATATGCAAACAATTGGGGTATATTTGTGACAAATTAAAATCTATTGCAACCAACTATTCTTGTAGTTAAATTATTATATTGAGCGACGAATTTATTGGTCGCAACGTGGTCACTAAAATACGTTAGGTTTGTGACCATATAAAATCTATAGTAACCACGTACTCGGTTGTTAAAAGAATATCATTTATCAACCAAAAATATGTGGTTACTGTATGTATACCTATAGCAACCATATTAATATTATAGCGACCATAAATTTTAACATTAGCGAGTAAACAATTTGTCGCTGATAATTACATCTTTAATGACCATTATTGAATGGTCGCTAGATCTATGTCTTTAGCGTCCAACTGATTTGCTGGTCACTAATACTTTTAGTAGCCACCCTGTTGTGACCACAAGTGACCAAGCCTAATTTGGTCGTTATAAGTTTCAGCGACCATTATCTTGCTTTTAGCAACCATAACAAATCGTCCCTAAAACCATTTTTTCTTGTAGTGAATTAAGCCAAAAATTGGTCAAAGTTACATTTACAGTCATAACGAAATTATTAAAACTTAAACGATATCTATCACATCCCTAAATCAACCAATACTATATATATATCCTCTTCAATACTTCAACACATCATTATTATGGTTAATTTCAGTACTTTCCCCTTCCATTTGTATAAGTATATATCCTCACTTACCTCCAGTATATTTACTTGGATATTCTATTACCCTCAAAAATAATTTATTTTTACCACTTGCACCCTTTCCCTCTCTCATTTTCTGCTAAATATCTCTTGCACATAACCTAATTATCAATAAGGACACAAGTTTTTTTGCTTTAGGTAAAAGTCATGTTCGTTTTTACATGTGAACAATACGGATTTTGTGTACAATTCAACGCATTTTCCATTTTGACCATAAATTTACCGTCGAAGTTAACTCTTTGCCAAATTTATATCCACAGTACAAAAACATGTTTTACGCAGTTGAGCTCGTTATCAACTATAGGTCCAACATACATATATCAAAATCGAAGTTAAGTTCGATATTTCGACTGAATTGTATCGTTCACAAGTCCAACACATATCTAAATCCATGTTAAGTACGATATTTCGACTGATCTGAATCGTACATAGGTCCAACACCAACCTAAATCGAATTTAAGTACGACATTTCACCTGAGCTGAATCGTTCATAGGTCCAAAACCTAATCAAAATCAAAGTTAATTACGACATTTGGAGTACTGATCTGAATCGCTCATAGGTCTAATTAACACATATCTAAAACTATGAAAAAATTTTGATGAGAAAAAAAGAAGGAATTTACCGGCATCAAATTTTCAAAATATAATGCTTATAAGTACGATAAATTATATAATATATATTGTACATATGAAACAAACATAGCTCATATCCAAATCAAGGATTACAATCGATCTCTGGCCCATCACAAAACCCTAATTGATAGTGATGAAACTCAGATCTTGTTTAAATATAATTTCACAACAAAATTAAATCACCATCAATTTCTTTTTTTTTTTTTTTTTGCCTTATATGAATTTAATTTGGATATTAATTAACGAAATTACAAAATTCAGCAGAAAAACACGGAAGGGCCCTCAAGATTCTGATGTGACATACCTCAAAAAGAAGAGTTACATGCATATATCCATCTTGTCAACGAGCAATATCTTTCTCTAGTTCAGAAAACATGCAAAACTCAAACTCAGAAAAAACCCTAATTTGCTGACAAGATCTCCGATGCATTTTCTAACAATTATCCAGCTGGACTTTTGAACACAAAAACCTCGGTCTTCGTCCCAAATCTTGAATAATAATAATAATCTGATCGTCAAGAAATTTAATCTGCATGCAAACTCAACTGCCATTTTCCGAGATCTGATCAAAATGAACCCTATTTCAAATATTATCAAACAAGAATGGATCGCCGTAATCCCAAAGACTAGTTGAAGGGTAATCGTCTTCACTAGCTAACGGCCACGTCGGTGAGGTGACGTATCCGTTCAGCACCTCCGCCGGATCTGTAATCGCCGGCGCCGCCGGCAAGTGGTCGGTCTTTGCATTATTAGACAAACTTGACCCGACGGAGCCCACGTACGAACTCATTTCATCATACCCAACGTTGCTCTGCAAGTGATTGAAGTCCGGAATTTGTTGGGGATAATAATCTGTGTTATTGTTATTAGGGTTAGGGTTAGGGTTAGGGTTTGGGTTTGGATAAGAAGAGTATTTTGACGACTGATCCCTAACAATTGTGGGGTCGGCTTCAATAATCTTGAAATCATTATTCGATCCGTACTGTTGCTGCTGCTGCTGAACCAGACACATCTGTTGTTGGGGTACGATGTTGTTGTTGGGGTATTGTACGGTGCTAGGGTACAGCCCGTACTGCGGGTAGTTTGCTGCCATTCCTACTAGGGCCGGCGGCGGTATCTGCGGCGGCGGAGCGGAGAATGTGAGGCCGAACCCTGCCGGGCGGGGGAGCAGAGGTCGTAGGGTTTGTGTTGAAGATGAAGAGGATGAAGTCGTCGTTCTAGACGATGAGTGAGAAGACGAACCGCCACTCACACCGCCGCCGTTGCTGGCGCCGCCGCTGCCGGAAGGTTGGAGATTCAGCTGGGCCTTGTTGCCGTAGAGTATGATGGCTGCGCGGTCGTAGGCGCGGGCGGCGTCCTCCGCGGTGGCGAAGGTGCCCAGCCACCGACGAGTGCGCTTACGTGGCTCCCGGATCTCGGCGACCCATTTGCCCCAGCTCCGCTGGCGGACACCCCGGTACCTGAACTTGCCGTTGTCGGGGCCTCCTTTGCCACCGGCGGCGCCGCCCTTACCTTTCTTGGCACCGTTGGTGGTGGGGGTGGTGGTATTGTTTCCGCCGCTAGCGGTGTCGCTGGAGGTGGTGGTGGTGGAAAGTGAAGGAATAATGGGGTTGTAGTCATTGTTTTGTTCATCGTGGTCTCGGGGAAGGTGAATATTAGGGTCTGAAATTGCAGCACCGCTCATAGTGAGTGGTTGCTCAAAGAGGTGGCGCAAAATAAAAATTAAAGAAAAGTCTAGAGAGAGAAAGTCTATAGAGAGAGAGGAAAAGTGGTGGGTTTGTGCCTCGTAGTGTGTTTACCCAATTGAGAAGACTCTCTGTGTGTAGTGTGTGTGAATGAATGCCTGTGTGTATTCACTGTAAATGGTGGAAGAGGGCGGTGGTCATGTGGTATCACAGACGATATCATGTATATATATATGTATAATAATTTGTATATTCATGTGTGTATACTTACATGTTTGTATCTATATATCAGATGTATGTATAATGTATATTAGTTCCTACATGTATATATATACGATTGGCGGAACATGGGAGATTGCTCCCTTGTGAAGAAACATGTATGTACAAGTATTCGATTTTTCAAGACATGCAAATTTTTATTTTTCTTCCTTTTTCATTATTTTATTCCATTATTTCATGGTACGTGCGTGCAGAAAACTTATTTAATCTATTTCCTATTTTATGTTTTAGTATAATATAGTATTTGTATATCGTATCCATTAAGTAACTAAAAAAAAATGTCTTTTATAATAACACTATATAGTGTAAAAACGGTTTTGTACAACCTACGCTTGTTGAAGTACACTGTGTAGTTTTATGCTATTAATCTATACATAATAACATCCACCTATGTATAAGTGTGATTAATAATTATTTATGCAGATCTGCGCTATAAAAACACATAGTGTATTTCATCGGATGTAGGATCTTATAAGTAGTAAAAATAGCAAGAATAAAATTTAGGATAACTCACAACCTTATGACAAAATTACGAAAACCCCCCTCACCTATAAATTTTCTTACATGTCCACCCTTGCGGTTTCAAATTTAGTGGAATCTTTTTGATTATGTGGAATACCACACTTTTGTACCCGTTTTATCCCATTCGAGCTCCATATTTTGAACCAAAATGATCATAAAATGTTTTTTGGCTGGTATATATCAGAAACTGTATTTTTACACAAAACGAGTACAAACTAGAGTACATCCCACAGAATCTAGATAATTATGTTGAATTTGACACTATAAAAGTGAAGGTGTAAGAAGATTCATAGTTGAGAGGTAGATATAATTAGCCAAACAAAAGGGAGTTTTTCGTAATTTGACCATATCTCAAGGCTGGTTGTAATTTACCCTAAAATTTAAATTAAATACCAGGAAAATGATAAAATATGAATGGTATGATCGAGACCTTACTTCGTGAATAAGGTAGTTTTGCGGCAGCCAAAGCTGGTTAATATTTAATTAGTAATAAATTGTTTGCTCCTTCCAATAACATATAAAGCAAGAAACGCGTCTGGTCTTATTCCATATTTATTGTACTAGGGTTTGCTTATTATTGCCATTTATAATTGCGCACTATTTCAAATTCTTATAACTAATTCACATTTTGTAAAACATATCACACCAAGATATTTAGAGTGTTTTTATTAAGCTTATTAGATGTTAAAAAGAACTTAGATTTTGAAGAGTTGTTAAGTTCTAAAAATACTTAGATGTTCTAAAAATAAGGTGTGGGAGAGTTTTTAAGATTTTATCAAAAATACATCTCTCCATTTTTTTTATTTAAGGTCTTATAATAAGTAAAAATAACTTATAAGTTCATTATCCAAACACTTTAAAAAATAATTTAAAAAAAATATAACAACTTATCAAGTCTTAAAACAACTTATCAGACATAAGAACATATTAACTATTTAAAATAAGCTTAATTAGTCAAACAGTTTCATAGTATAGTATGAATTACCAGTCATAATATTAATATTTAGTAAATTACATTTTATGCGAACACGGTAAAAGAAGAATTAACAACAACTTTTTCCATATATTTTAAAAAGATTGATTAATTGTTAGTTGGTGATTTCTCAACAAAAAGAAATCCATTTAATAATTTAAGAGAGGTTATTTAAAACTTTTATCATGGGAAAGGAACATAATTAATAAATTAGACTTCTAGAAAATTTAATAATAGGTAACAGCAATTCATTATGTAAATTATAGGAGTAACAACCTTGGAATTTGATCTTCCTTTCATAATTAATTTATTATTTTACTACGTAAAAGGATTTAGGTAGGTAGCTTGTGAGACTTCGTTCAATTAGTAGCACTTATTTATTTCGTTAGTAACATTATTCATTTAAGATTTATACTTTAATTTAAAAATAACAACAATTTAATTAGTTATTAATATCTCAATCAAGTAATGTAATTATTCATTTTACTGAGTTTACATTCCCAGACATCATATTTCACAGTTTTTTCTATGCTACAACCAGTGAATTTACTTGAAGTGATGTTATTTTACCTATAATCATGTTCTCATACATTTTGTATATACATCCACACGTATTATGTGTTCGACTCCATGTAAATTAAAATGGAAAAATTATCCGAAGAAATTCACTATATGAAACATCAAATGGACCATATTTCATTTTTGTAAGTTGGTGTCGATGAAAAATGGATCCTTCCCATGTAATCGTAATAAAGTTTTAAATTTTGAAAATTGAAGAAATGTAATTAGAATTAATTTTGTACTTCCGAAAATAATAATTATAATCAGTAGTTACGTCCTCCTACTCGAGATTATAAAATTGGAATAAGGTAATGAAAAAAGGGTGATAAAAGAATTATCATATCATATATAAAAAGAAAAGAAAAATATATGTCTGAATCTTATAATTAAATAGTTAAATAAGCAGCGGTGATGAATGGAACAGCTCTCATCCGAGGATATTATACAAAAGCTTTGTCTGAACGAAAACAAGAAAAGAAAAATAAAATAAAACAAAAAAGGAGTTAGCCAAAATAATGACAGATTTTTGATGATCAGAGTCTGAAATAAGGTCCCAATAACTTTCACTAGTTTCAATGTCACCTCTGTCCTCCACATGCTTTTTGCTTTTTTTTTTACTTTTTTTTTAATGTTTTTTACCCTTTCTATATTTCACAGATTTAATTTTCACTAAAGTATCACAATTGGTAATGTTTAAACTTACCATATTGGTATATATACCATAAAATATCTAAATCTTTACTAGTTCACTGTAATAACATTTAAAATCGAATTGAAAGTAATAAATAAAAATAAAAATATCTGAACTTTGATGGGCCCAAGATTTAGAGGGTTCGATCTTAAACTAACCGGGTGGGCTTCGTGTTGCTGGACCGAATACTCAATTGGACCGCCTCAAGTGAAATTGGTTAGACGACTGAATTTTATATTATTTATTTCATTCATTTTGGGCCTAAAAAATCAACACTTTAATTTTATAGTCAAAGACTTAAAATAATGATTTAGAAAAAAAGATGAATATCGTTACAATATTACCCTTAAAAATTGCATTTTTAGGTAGTGTTACATTAATAGTTAATACTTAAGTAGGAGACTTTTCATCAAACTAAAAAAGAGAGAAAAAAAAATACAAAAATGAAAACTAGCTAGGCAGCAGCATTTCTCAAGTAGTGCAAGTACTGGTCAACGGCAGTTGACGGGACCGCCAGGTTGACTTTGAACGCACCCGCTACACCGCAAACCGGCAACACTACGCAGTACTTATCACAGCAAACCGGGCCCACCTGAACCGGCCTCCCGATTCCAAAGTCAACGCTCTCCAGCCCCAGCCTTGACCACTGAGTCATGATCAGCACCCCCACCGAGTCCACACTCGCCCGGTTCCAGCTCACCAACTCCACCACCTCCCTCACGTACTCGTCCCCAACTCTTTCTTTAGCCCCCTTCACAAGCTCCGCCGCGTGCCGCAGACCCTTTCCGGCCAATTCCCCGGCGCGGGCCTCCGCGCATCCCAGAACGAACGCGTTCCCGTAGTACCCGCTCGGCAGGCGCGAGTTGACTCGCTGCCGTATGTTCACGCTGAAGACGAGTTTCACGATTTGGTCGGACGGCAAGTTCAAACCTCTGGCCCAGCTCCTCCAAACGTGCGCCGCCAGAATCTCGAACGACGTAAATGTTGCCACCCGAGTCAACTTCTTCAACCCGTCCAACTCATTTTGTTCGAAGATGACAGAAGTTGGCATCAGCCGTTCTCGAACAAAACGGGATGCAAATCCAGAAACATCGGGGACGCTCCTGAACTCAGGGTGACTCAGTGAGTTATCATCACGACTAACACAGAAGGACGAAATCGGGTCAAGTAGATGACGACCCGAGATTGGTTTCGGATCCAACCCAACGAGTCCTTGCTTACCGATGGCCAAATCCGCGAACGAGTTGAGGAACTCACCACTACCAACGCCGTCGCACAAGCAGTGGTTGAATCCAACAGCCAGCGTGGCGCCGCCGTCGGAAAGCCAAGTCAGCTGAACCACGAGCGGTGGGCCACCCTTGAGGACATCGGCCACGTGGAAGGACAAGAACTTCCTCCACATTGCCCTGCGGCACGGCGCACCATCGAAATCGGAGGCGGCGGTGGAGTCTGAAACCGCGGATATGAAGACGGCGCCTTGGCCTCGGCAGACGACCTCCAGACCGGAACCGTCGGGCCGGGCTCTCACCCGACCGGCGAGTGGGTAGTAAGGGACAAGGGCCCGGCCCAATGCAGACTTGACATTGTCTGTGACGGTAGCTTTATCAAAACTCCCACAGCGGGGTTTGTAGACAAGTAAATATTCAAAGGTAAAACGAACGAAGAGCTGTGAATCTAACGCAGAGAGTTGGAGAATGTGATTTGGCGTTGGCTTACATGGACCGATCACAACCGCTTCTTTTACATGCACACAACACCTACTCGACATTATTTTTATTTTTGCTGATATATCTTGTGACGAATAGATATACATACATATATATATAATTATATATACACACACACACATGGGGTATCTTTGTTTACACAGTATACTGTGAGAGATTTGTGCAAGATTCTCAAGGCTACACTTTATGGGGAAAAATGGACGATAAGCCAAAGTTAAAAGAAAAAAAAAAACAGCTTGGATTCTGCTTTCAATCTTTTTGGGCGGAAGAGAAAAAGGTGGATATATATATTTTTTTAATTTTGAAACTTTATAATATATATTTTTATATTGTATATATATATATATTTTTCGAGTAAATATCTACACTTGACTCGAGAGATTTGAAATCGGTTGCTTTTGCCTTTTGTGTAAATTGTGGGGTGTACTGTTCAATTATTAAAAATATGTTTATTTAATTAAATCGTTTTTATTGGGGCAAGCACCTTGTTAACTAATAGGCAACTAATTAATTATAATAATGTGGGTACTAATAATTAATTCAAAAATTCTGTTTCCAAACTATTGGAGTGAAGGCAAAGGGGGTGCATGGGAATATTACTCCTACTATTGTTCTGTCTGTAAAATGCATCATCTACCGGAATATTATATATTACATACTTCTGTCCGGTTGTAATTAATTCTATTCCATTGTCACTAATAGAATTTTTTATTACGACCATTAATCGTAGCAAAAAGTACCAAATTCATAGTAAAAAGTCTTTTCTACGAATTTTTCATGTAGTAGATAGTGGGCATGAAAAACCTTGCTACGGTAAATTTTCGTAGCAAATATTTTTTTGTTACGGTAAATACTAGTATTTACTATGATTCCTAGATTGTCGCATAGTAAAAGTTACCTTTTGTGACGGGTTTTTACCCTTTTTTTACTAGTGTATGTTAATTACTCCTAACGAATTTTTGAGTAAGATTATTTGCAAGCTTAAATACCACGTTAATTAGTTACATGGTGAGTGAATTAAGGGAAATTTATAAAGTTGAATAACAAAATCTTGGGTTGAAATTACATGAGAAATTTGAGTTTTTGTCTTATTAATTATACCAAAAGAAAAAAAGAAAAAAAAATCTAGTTTGTCCATGCATCTCTCGTTTTGTAGTGAATTAAACTTTGGTATATATTATTATCAAGATCTTGTAACATCATCAAGATCTTAAAATGCTATTAATTATAGGACAAATCTAATTAGGCTCGGAAAATGAAACCTTGGATTGGAATAAAGTAGATATGGTTGTCTTAAGACAAAACCCATTATCTTTATAATTTCCTATAAACAATTACAAAAATAACAACTAGAGAATATTCTTTTAACAACTCTGACGTTTTAATAACATGCCTTGCTGCTATATAGAGTCTAGACCTCACGAGATTTGCTTTATTTAGATAAAACAAAAACAGATGAAAAATAATTAAACTAAAAATAAATAAATAACAGACTAAAACAAATGGATGAAAAAGTTTGTGAGTCGGCTCGCTAATGCTAGAGCTCGATTGAGTTTTTGTCAAGCCGGCTCATCTGATTTAGTATTCCTGCTAAGAGGTAAGCATCATAGTTGAATTATGGATGATTTGGTAAATAATTGTTTGATAAATCAAAGACAAATATTGGTGGTGTTTATTTTTATTTAATTTTTTTTTTTTTTTTTTTATAATTTTGCAAGCTGGCCTGAAGATTTATTGCACTACTGAGGTACCAAATTAAAGTTTAATCATTTAATTATCACGGCTATAAAATTAGACATATTAGTTATCACTTATTAGTTATTACACCCTATAAAAATTAATTAAAAAAACTGAAAAGATCACCTACAAAAATAATTGGTTGGACAACTTAATGATTTTGTCACATATAATTGGGCCCTCTTCTTCAGACAACAGATCGGCCCAACAACTTTGGTCCATATATTCGCTAATCTCACCGATTATAATTATAATGAAAATTCCACGTGGCATTTTATTTGGTGGATTAATCCACCCCTAATCATGGACTCAATCCAACACCCTTCCGCCTCATTTGGTTGAGTAGATTAGCCTTAATTAACAAATAATTGGATTTTATTTGATATTTGGTATCTCTAATAATTTCTCGAATCGCAAATATTATGTTATCATGACTTATCTCGCATTATCTTGTCTTTTAAGGGGTTTTTTGTTGGACGCCCCGAGATAAAATAATTGAATTTTCATTAGTTTAATTAATCTTATATTGACAACCAAAACATGCCTAATTAACTTCTATTTAACCAGGATAATTAATCCCACACGTCAAGAAAATAGACTGAATTATAATTAATGATTAGCCTACCACATGATGAAAGCCAATAGTCAAATGGAACAAGGTCATATAAGAAAAGAAAATCTAAGCAATAATTATTGTTTATATTCTTTATACTACACTTTATATCATGAGGGAGATAGGGGAAATAAAATAACAAAGGGAGAGGGGTGGAACAAACATTCAATTACAATTGTCAAATCATTTGATTATATTATTTTAATTAGTACCCTTTTATAATATTCCTATTTAATTTTTATCAATTTTGAAGAAAAAAATAATATTTTTTTTTAAATATTAATTACTTTAAAATAATTATAGATAATTAATCCAACACAAAACAAAATCTCTGATCAAGAAAGGAGAGCTTCATAATTAATTAATTCATTAATTAATTAATTTCCACATAATCATAATTCATACAAAACAAACACAATGCATCACACAAACGTACACATAAATCAAATTAAAAGATATACACAATAAATTAAATATCTGAAAATCAAGAATGTTTCTCAATTACGGAAACTGAAAGGGGCTAGTAGTAATGAACTGATCAAACGGCAGCATATTCTGATCACCATCAAACCCCCCCACCGCAACGCCGCCACCGCCGCCGCCGCCAATCCCCGGCATCTGAACAAAAGGATCCAAAAACGACAAATCCGACGGCTGCTGCTGATGCAGCTGCAGCTGCTGCTGCTGCTGATGGTGATGATTGTCCGCAGCACAGCAAGCTAACCGTGCACGTGCGAGCAGCAGATCATGCTGCAGCTCAACCATCCTGTGCTGCAGCGAGGCTATGGCTCCAATGCAGCCGTACACAGGGTCCTGCAGCCTCACCTCCGCCTCGTAAACGAGGGAATTAACCGTATCCTCTCTTTGTTCCTCCGCCACCTCGTTGAGAATCTTGCTCACATTGCTTGCGCCGAAGACTTTGTGCACTTTGGCGAACTTTTTGGGTTCGTCGGAGCGGAAGTAAGGGGCAAATTGGCAATTAGGGGTGCATCTTCTCTTCAAGAATTTGCAGGCTGCACAAGAAGAGCTCGAACGAGGTTCTTGATGAGTGCTCCTCATTGTTTTATTTTATTTATTTTATTTTATTTTCTTGGCTTTTGATAGTTATGTTTGCCAAAAAGATCTGCATTTTATAGCCTAAGTCCAGTATGGGAATTGTATGAAAAGTCATGTATCTTTATTAAGTGGCTTGGCTAATTAAAAAACGAGGTTTAAGGTTTGAGTTGTGTGCTATATTATATTACTCCCTTATTCCCATATTATTTGTCTTTTTCAATAAATTATCTGTCACTTCAGAATTTTAATAAAATATTAACTGGACTTCTTTTCAATTTCGCCCTTTGTCGCTCTCGTTTAGTAATTTTTCATGTTTTACCCCCGTAGTCCATGCATATTTACTGATTTTTGTAACCTATAACCAACGACCTAAACGACATCTAAAATGGTGGGGTGGGGTGGGGGTGGGGGTGGGGGTAATTAATTTATACTTTAGTAGTTTGAAAAATATTGATGGATAATGCATTATGCAATTTGAGGGACCTAGAATATTTCAAGATCATAGAAAATCTGAAAATTAGTGTACATGTTAAATTAATTACCAATTAAAGGCTCACTAATCTCATGATCACCTTTTCCTTTATTTTCTATTTTTTGAAGGCGAAAAAATAAAAGTGAAAAAATTGACAGATTATCAATAAATTAATCTAATTAATTGTTATGGGCAAAGTTATTGCAGCTAGAGAGATATATTATATATATATGGTGATAGGAAATGATAGTTCAACAACAAAGTAGACGAGACAATTGTGGCTTCATGAGAATATATATGGGGCCTATTTAAATATAGACTGATCATAAGCAAAGTTAGATGAGATGTTTCACTTATCAATTCAATCAATTAAAGTTTTTTCACAATACAAGAAAACCCTAGTTCTATTTGGATTGGCGCACAACCTGGGTAATCTCTCTATTCTCTAGCCTACCTAAAATATTGCTAACATTTTTACACTAAATTGCATGCCCTGCACGAATGGCAACTCTCTCTCTCTCTCTCTCTCTCTCTCTCTCTCTCTCTCTCTCTCTCTCTCTCTCTCTCTCTCTCTCTCTCTCTCTCTCACACACACACACACACAAACATTGGGTGAATTTCAACTGTTGATCACACAAGCACACATGTATATGTGTGTTTAGTATGAATTTTACGTCTGAAATCCACCCGATGTAAATAACCAAATGTAGCATCTAACTTTCTTCATTCGACTCGTTTGTTTAGCTAACCTATCAAAAAATTCTCATCCATAACTAAAACCGGTTTTATTTATTTATCCTTTTTTTGGGTGTGATTAGAAATATAATGAATAAAATGATCCCTAATGTCTGAATAAGAAGTTGTTTCCTACCACCCAAATTGGTTGACCAAAGTTATAGAGCCACAAACTCATTAGTCAAATCTCTCCCAACCACACTACTCTTTGACCTCTGGTCAATTACTCCATTAATTTAATGCTTCACTAAAATCTCCCTTAATTAAGTACTAATATACAGTAAGTCAAATATTTCATCTAATTTTGATTTCAAAAGTGCTCAGTTTAATTTAAATCTTTCTTTTCACATATTAATTCTAACTAAAAAAAAAAAAAAAAAAACTAAATCATATTTGTGGAGGAGAAAGGTTAATTTATTTTATCCGTTGAAATCTGGAAGAGCTATCAAACAAAGGCCTAGATGTACCAAATCTAGGAGCACAACTGGTAAATCCACAATTGTGTCTTTTTCCATCAATATTCAAATGAATATATTTCTTATGCAATACTAATTTTGCTAGAATAAATACTAATTTATATATTTATATAAATTTACTGTGAAAAATAACACAAATCATTTAAGAGCAAAAAAGAGAGAATATATATAATGAATGGAAAAGATGCTAGCCGTAGCAGAAAACAAATGAGAAGGAACAAGGAAAAATAAATAATAAATATTTACCTTGAAAAGACAAAAGAGAAAAAAAAAAAAGAAAAGGTAGTAGAAACGGAACGGGAAAAATAGTCACTTCAAGAACGTGGAAAAAGGTGGCAGGCAAAAGAAAGAAAACGCTGTTCAAAAACGCCCACTTGAAGAGATATATCAAAGTGTTAGTAATAATAATTGTCGTCGTTTCCCAATCCAACAAAGAACGGAGTCAATCAACGGTGTCACCTCTACCACCACCACCACCGCCACCGTTCCCCACCCACACTACATTATTCGTCCATTCCTCGGAATCTCTATCATTCTTCTTTTGTTATTTTTCTATATAATAATCCTTGGATCCACACATATTCTCACATTCTTGCGTGTGATTGTTGTAGTTTAAGAGACTTATGGGTGGAAAATCGAACATATTGATAAATGAGGATTAATTTCAAAATTTGAAAATGACTCGAATTTTGGAAAATTCAATTATTTTTTTGAAAATCTACTTACTTTCCAAAATTTTGGGGAGAAATTTGAAAATTCCAAAAAGAAAAAAAAGGGGGACCAAATTACAAAATTCCAAGTATATTTATATAAATCTGTACCAATCCAAGAAAATATATAATAAAAATTTGAAATTTTGAATTTCAAAATTTGAGATGAAAATATTTATTTCTGACCGAAATCAATGGAATTCGAAAATTGTGTTCCAATGTTGACCATGGTAATAAGGAGAGCGATGTACTAGGACTAGCATCGACAATCGACAAGACCAACGTAGTAAATTATTACATAAACGTGTGTTTTTCTCCTACACAAATATACGAGGCGTCCACATTATACGCAATCGAGGCCGGAACCACAGTGAAGCAACTGCAGCTCACCTTTTGATTGCACAAAGATTATTGTTACTACTTACTACAATACATCACATTCAGAATGAATATTTTCTACTTCCAATTATTTGGTAATTTTTATATATATATATTAAAACTACAACATTTGGTCAAACTGAAGTTTCTCTACCTTCTATTTGATGAGGAACTTTTCTCCTTGCAATGTATTTATATGCTGTTGCGAGAGGGAAGTTTCTAGTTTTTTGTTAATAACTCAAAGCCAGTCAAAAAGGATTCTGCTTAAATGACCATTTTACCCCCACCCCAAATTAAACCTACGGCAATTTGCCCAGAGATGACCAGACGAACTATACTAGAGCATCATTAGCACATGAGTTTCAGAGTAGGCTCACTAGGTTACAATTACTTTATTTTATTTGTATATGTATTTATTATTTTATCCTTTATATAATAATAAAAAATGAAAAAACTTACAAGTCGGTTCGTAAGTTCATAAACAACTAAAATGCGATCAAACTCGTCGAGTTAACTCATCTCATGTAATTTACATCCATGGAGTCGAGAAGAGTTCAAATTTTTTTCAAATGATAATTTCACTTCCTACCTCTTAAAGTAGTTATAATCTTTTCTAATTAATGGCAACACAGAATTGTTTTATTAATAAATTGATTTGACTTGGTAAATCAAATAATTGGCATTTTGGCCGGCCTCCATTAGATCTGACTCTTGCATCGTAGACCCCGTTACTACTAATATATTATTATTATTATTAGGGATGTGATAAACGTCGTTCGAGCTTTAATAATACCGTTTCGACTTCAAACGTGATTTTGATTATTTTTTATTCCAAATTTTGCAAAACCCGAAAAATAAGATTTGTAGTATTCTGAGTTAGTTTTCTAATCCAACTTGAATCACTAAAATTGGATGTCGGACGAGAAAGATATACATGAACCAATGGATACTGCCCACAACTTTGATGTATTGAGGTATCTAAAATTCAAAATGGGACTCATTCATGCATAACTTTGTCACACGGCATCCAATCTAGCGGATTTAAGTTGAATTAGAAAACTAACCAAAATGACCACAATTTTCGTGTTTCGAATTTTGCCAAAATCAACATAGAAATATGTCAAAATCAGGTTAAAGTCAACATAGAAACATTTCAATTATTATTATTATTTCTGTTTTATTTTCGACAATCCTATTAGCATAAAATCCAAATTTACTGATTATGAACTTTGGTAATGATACCAAATGGGGGAAGGAAGACAAAGCTTCTATCAATGTTAGATCACAGCAAAATCTCTAATTCAATCCCCACGTGTGTATTAGACCTCTCTCTAGCTAGGCTTAATCCCAATTTTCCAAACAACCCCTAATTTTCTTGTTCTATTCTTAATTAATTCACTAATTAATGTTAATCAAATCAACGAGTAAATTAAACGAATATATAATAACAAGCAGAATATGACTAACCCCTCCCTGCAGGCCGGTATGCCCTCCACGTGGCAGCACTTCAACATTTCAAACTTCCCTCTCCCACCAACAGCCATCTTCATCTACACATTAAACAGTACAAACACAAACAGTCAAAAATCCATCACATTATTTTAACATTTTTTTTTCTCGCAAAATTCGACGAACATTTCTCCAACTAACAAAACATCAATTCATGCAGCAACGAAAAAAAAAAATAATAATAATAATAATATAAAGTGCAAACCCATGGATGAAGTTCCACTTCCACAACCTCTAATAATGGTCTCCTCAGGGTTTCTCCCAGCAGCCACATTGCTGGAATCGTTAATCCACACCTCGAACGAAATCACGAAAACGGAGAAAGCGTCTTTTGTGCAGACTAAAAACATTTCGAAAATGACGAGAAGGATCAGACTCCTTTCTTCGCTGTTCGAAGAGATTCAAGAAACGGACACGCCACTTCCATCGTCATCAGTCTTGTGCCTAACGGAACTCGCCTCCGTCCTACAACGATCGAAGATTCTGATGGAGAGTTGCAGAGAAGGGAGCCTCCTCTGGAATCTCATGCAAACGGAATGTATCGCAAATCAATTTTACGCAGCCGCAAAAGAGATGGCGAGAGCACTCGATATTTTACCGTTAAGCTTGCTTAACTTGACAGCAGATACCAAAGAGCAAATCGAGCTCCTCCACAGACAAGCAAAAAGCGTCCAATTATTCATCGATCAAATGGAGATTCAACGAAGGGACGAAATTGTCCAACTAATGGCCGTCACCGTCAACAATGAAAGAAATAGAAAGAATAAAGGTTCCGTTGATTTCAGAAGAATTAGAGATATGTTGAGCAGTCTCGGTCTCAGAAGCCCAATGGAGTTTGAAGAAGAGATTTCTAAGCTATGGGGGGAAGCTGAGAAGCAAGCAGGCACAGGTGGGCTTATCGTGGTCTCTAATATCAACAATCTTATATCTTTCGTTTCTCTATCGAAAATGGCAATTTTCAGCGAGGATGAAAATTCGAAAACTCATGAGGACTTGAAGAAGCGTAAATTACCGACGAACACCGTCCATGATCACTCGTTCTCTCATATACCAGATGATTTCCGGTGCCCAATTTCATTGGATCTAATGAACGACCCTGTCATCGTAGCATCAGGTCATACTTACGATAGAAACTCCATCGCCCACTGGATAAACACAGGTCACCACACATGCCCAAAGAGTGGGCAAAGGTTGATACACATGGCTCTCATACCAAACTATGCATTGAGAAGTGTGATACAGCAGTGGGGCCAGGAGAACAACGTTCCGATTGTGGGGTCCACATCCTCTAATCTAGAAAAGACCAACACCAGCAAGAAAAGATACGTTGATCATATTTCAGCAACTAAAGCCGTTGCCGATGCAGTAAAACTGACGGCGGAGTTTCTGGTGGGGAAACTAGCAACGGGTTCACCGGATATACAAAGACAGGCGGCGTACGAGCTACGCCTGCTCGCGAAAACGGGAATGGACAACCGGAGAATAATCGCTGAGGTGGGCGCAATCCCGTTTCTGCTGACTCTGCTCGGGTCTCACGATTCAAGAATCCAGGAAAATGCGGTCACCGCTTTGCTCAATCTATCCATATACGAAAACAACAAAATCTTGATTATGGCTGCCGGCGCACTTGACAACGTTGTGGATGTCTTACTATCGGGGCTAACAATGGAGGCGAAGGAAAATGCGGCTGCAGCAATCTTCAGCCTGTCACTAATCGACGACCACAAGATTATCATCGGTGCTCATCCGAGGGCCATTACAGCTCTAGTGGGGCTACTAGGAGAAGGGACAAGGGCCGGTAAAAGAGATGCTGCAACTGCACTATTCAATCTTGCGGTGTTTAATGTTAACAGAGGAAAGGTTATTACAGCAGGAGCGATTCCTCTGCTTATTGGCCTTTTGACGGATGACAAGGCGGGGATTACTGATGATGCTTTAGCTATGCTTGCACTTCTTTTGGGATGTTCGCAAGGTCTTGAAGAGATAAGGAAGAGCAGGGTTTTGGTGTCCCTTCTTATTGATCTTTTGAGATTTGGATCTTCTAAGGGGAAGGAGAATTCGATTACTCTGCTTTTGGGGCTTTGTAAGGATGGCGGAGAGGAAGTTGCGAGAAAGCTGTTGATGAATCCGCGGAGTATTCCTTCTCTGCAGAGCTTGGTCACTGATGGGTCGTTAAAAGCTCGACGAAAAGCTGATGCTCTGCTCAGAATACTGAATAGATGCTGCTCATGAATCACAATGTAGTGTATAATGGCGCAGTGTTAAAAATTTGATATTCTAACAGAATGTATAAGTCATACCGAAAATGTCCATTTCATACTACTATATTCTACATTGCCCTTATCCCATTGAAGGATAGTATTGTAAGTTGTAACTAAGTGAAGAACTTGAAAATTGATATACTGAAACGATTTCGAAAATGCCCTGCATTCGATAATATACATCTGAAAAGATTTACCATGAAGATCTGGTTAATGCAAAGAGTCGAGCAAAAATTCAAGTGAGGCTCACTGAGTTACACATAATTGAGATTGTTATCATATTTCAATTCAAGGTACGGAACTGGTAAAATTGATAATGTTATGAATACCTGTTCAGAAGAGTGTATTTAGAAAGACGACGGTGATTCTTGCTTCCAGAAACTAAAGCAGCTGCCTTTTAAATGCGAAATGGAACATATGTTTGACAGCATAAACTAATAGCAGATGGTTAAACAAGTGCCTGCAATTTGAAAATACAATGTTTGTGAGATCATCAGAAGTGCTAACCTGCTAGGCAGCTGACAAAAGGAATCATAACTGATTACAGAAGAAAAAATCGACTGAAAAGAGCTGGGAATTTGTTATCGCATTCCACTTTCTCTTGATTATAATAAACGGACAAGAATGCGCCTCGATGTAAAACAAAATTAGTACATTCAATTTTCTCTATTAATTTTACTTTGCATAAACACTTCAATTTTTTCTTCCTTCAAGTATTTGTTGCATATTTATCATTTCTTCTAGACATCTGATATTTAATTAATTGCCGGTAATAACAATGAAACGAATGAGCAGCATACTTGATTTGGTACATTTACCATAAAAATCAATATACTAAAAAATAAGAAAGAAGGGAAGAAGACCAATTACGATCAATACTAACCAACTGACGCACACTATGCAATCATCGAACTATTCGACTTCTCCGAGAATCATCAATAGGACCTCAGTGCTGCTCTTTCCCCCGCCCCCATGCTGGGCATTTCAACAAACACCTGAAGGACGATAAATATTGCCATGGAATCCTAGTCGATCGTCAGCTTCAAGTTATCGACCAACGAATTGCAATCAGCTAGGTTTCCTATAACCGCTCTGAATCTGGCGATTTCATTCGGGAAGGTGACATCCGGCGGAGTTGCGCGAGATGGAAATTGCATGAGGTCGGGGACGTAAGTGCACGTAATTGGGGGAAGAGAAAATGTAGGAGATAGAGAATTTTCAGAGAATCGGATTGGTAGTAATGGAGTGCGATTTCTTCTGAAGAAGGAAAACAGAGAGAAGAGTGAAAAAATATTGTGAGCTTCCTTCCGCCATTACTGCATGAGGAAAAGATGCGTCTGTCAAATTTCACGAATAAAAATGGGCGTAATGATTTTATTTTTTTATTTTTTTAATAATTAACAGGATTCAAAATTTTCATAATAAAAAAAAATATATATATATAATATATATATATCGGATATTATCATTTATTATTAATTAGGAGAGTTTTTGGAGTTGTTTAAGAGATTATTAAAAGAAAGTAATAATTGGATCAAAAGTTTATTTGGGGCTTGGGCCCATCAAATTAGGTCTACCTATCATATTGGGCTTGATTGATTTGGGCCACCAGTTGTGATAATAGGATGCGGCCTTCTGTACATATGTTTGTGTATATGCATGGATCTATGTATGCATCATTTTTTGCAGAATAGTGAATTGCCACCAGTATACTATCAAATACGATTCACAAACCGGATATTTAAATCCAAATTTCTATTCGCTAACTCAGATGGTAGATATATCTTAATTTCCAACTGGCATTTCCAGTGTAGTTAGATTATAAGTTATAACCATAAATCAGAGGGTTTAAATCAAGTACTTAAGAGTTATCCGAGGTGTATCATATCTCCATTTCCACAATCCAATATATATTTTCCTAATGCCAAACAATAAATCATTTCTTGAATTCATTTCTACTTAACATTAACCTGACCGGTGATCAATGAATCAGAAGCAATTAATACATGAAAACATAAACGAAATTGAAACGAGGCAAATAGATAACAGATCTGGAAATCAATACTAATGTTTCATTTTCCTAGAAGAAAATGTATTTAGTTCGATACAAACGTAGTGTCAAAAGTAAGAAGACGATAAATGATCATAAACTATTCGTAAAGAAAAAACATAAGAAAAACCCGAGTCAAAACTTTCCACAAAAATTTGTCGAAAATCGAAAAAAAAATTCAAGAAGGTTCAAATGGTAGGCCCTTCTATTTATAGTAGTTTGCAAAGTTTCTTGAGGAGGTTTTGAAACTAAAATATTTGGCATGAAAAAACCGTGCCCAAATCGCAATCTGATGACTTAGGGAAACTGAAAACCGCCTTACCAGATCGCAACTACAATATACGGAATATTTCTTTTTATCACAAAATATGTAATACTTCTAAGAGGATATTGCAGATAAATTAAGATATATGCATATAGCATGCACACAAAAATAAATTTCCTAAGAGGTGCCTCAAATAAGTAATAAATGATCATAGTATACATTTCAATTTTATTGACAAAAACAAAAATTCGAAATTCCTGGAGACAAAGATCTGCATTGTTCAATTTCTTTAACTATATACTTTCCCATCACCCAATGCAAAGATTCATCATGTTCCTCGAATTTATTTAATAATTAAAACTGTTTATGGTATTAAATAACATCAATTAACTACTAGTCTATTAGTAATTAAAATACTAATATTCTAATCTATCTCTGCGCAAAAATCAATAATAATAACAAACAAACAAACAAACAAAACGAAGAAAACAGTGATGCATGAGTATCACCGTATAATGTACTTTGAAAATCTCACTCAGAAATTTTGTCTTATTCACAAACTCAGATCTAAATTAGTACTTGTTTTCATGATCTTGTTCTTAACTTCTTTCTTCGAAGATGAAAACAGTGACAGCGACAGGCTACTGTCCACGTCATCAGCATCATCCTTAAATCCTGTCTTCATAATTTTTAGGGATAGGTTTAGATCAAGATCACCACCCACATTTTCAGAAGAAAGCTTTCTTTTCATGTTTCTAGCTGCTGCTTCTTCGACTGATGCCGCCGGCGGCGGCGGCGGCGATTTCTCTTTCTCCCGTGTCGGACGGAAATTACGAATTTGCCCTCTGTCGGGAAATTTGCTTTCTGACAAGTAGTGGTTTGTGGAGCTCGTTGCGATTTGATGACGATGATCGGTACTAGTACTTTGCCAATTATGTCGTTGATTCGTAGTTGAATTTTTATTGTGCTCGTTTTCGAGAAATCTGCGGTTTGTCTGAAAATTTGAAGCGGATAATGTTGACCGGTATAAAACTCCATTCATCGCCATGTTTGAAGATGCAGCCCACCTGCTATGAGGATTGTTGCTAGCCCAATGGGAATCTCTATAACTAAAAAAAATTATAAAAAAAAATCAGATTAATTATTAGGGTTTGTAATTCACAAATGAGTTAGTTAATTTTGATTTATGTTAGATCAAGAATGAATAAAATTAAATGAGCATGAATTAATTCTTCAACTTTTTAGAGAGGTGTAAAGTGATTTTTATTTGTTGCTGATCACATACCGTAAAGTGGAAAGTGGTGTTTGATTTGAACTTTGTAGCAGTGGGAGTTGGCTGAGGTTGTAAATATGGCGATCTCCGGTGTCGAGAAGAAGTCTTTGTTCCGAAATTGCTATCGATAATTTCAAAAAAAAAATTAAAAAAATACCCACAAATCAAAATGAA